TATAATAATACCTGAACATGTCTTTAAACCCTACATTGTGAAGCCAACATCATTCAATATGTAACATATACTTAATAAGTCTAGGTTTTAATATTAACTGAATATTTATTAACCGGCACAACTAGTTTTGCTGTTGTGGAAAATCTGGGTCTATCCTGTAGCCGCTTTGTGCTATTTAAAAATGATTTAAAACCAGTGCCAGTGGTAAAATCATTACAAAAGGCCTTGCATTTGTTGATTGTTACACGAATTTTTTCCACTCTATATTTGTATACTGTTTTCCAATCAAAATTCAATCAACAACAATGAGCCATATTTTCAACGTTAATTAACGACATGGATGAAGAACAAAAGACACGGCTATATGCGCGCGAATCACTTGACAAATATTAGGAATATTTTTTAAATCTGCCCGTTGTAAACATCAAAATAATAGCGAGTTTTATATATGCACAGTTGTAGAAAACAGAAATTGTAATAATGGCACTATTAATTTTACTCACTTATATGTTTACAAAAATAAAATAATAAACTAAAGGGAAAAATAGAATAAAATAGATATTGTATTTTTAAAATTATGATAAATCTGGACGTTTTATTTGAACCAAGCATTAACTTTTGTCAGTAAGAAAAATCGTAAAAGATATTTTTTGGGAATTGACATCTTTATAATAAATCCCTGGTCCTTACAGAATATGCCAGGTTTGATCTTAAATCCCACAGAGTCAAGTAACAAGAAAGAAATCCGATGTTAGAATTGAAGGTAGGCCAGGCATATAAAAATATACAATATGCCCCAACAAAAAATGTAATCTTAGTGAGTATAATTCTAGGACACTAGATATAAAATATTTCTACATAATTATTGGTTTGTTCTATGTCAGAGCCCTCTAGTTAATTATTAAAATGCTTGTTAGGTACTAATTAAGGTGAAATTTGACGTAATTTAATTAAAAACATCTCGAATCACAAAGAAGGACAACATAAAAGGTTATAAAAATAAACATTACAGCATAAAAGGTTGTTGTAAATAAAGAAAGGTTAGACCTTAAATCAAAAACAAGGAGATATTTTTTAAGCCGTTATAAATGTTCTTGAATATATTTTTTTCTCGTGTCCTTAAATACTACAATTTCAAAATATATTTTATTTATTATATTTGTTGAATCAGTATAGGACCAGAAAAATGAGAACTCTAAGTAACACAAAGGTCTAATGGACGATGTATGTTTGGCACCACAAAGAGAGGGACCACTAGAGTATAGAGTGGATTAGACAGAAACACCCTGTAAGAGATAAATGTCCACAAATGGCAACAGGCAAATCCATTTTCAATTCATGTGTGTTCTAAATATCAACAAAAACGATTTCATTGAGGAAATTACTTAGACTGACTTAGGTTAAATAAAACTATATTAAAACTGGTACTAATAGACTGACAAAAGATGGTTAAAATTACGTAATCATACCCAAGAGACTTAAAAAAGCACCAAGGTCACAACCTAGAGCTTTCATCAAGGAAGTATTTGCTGCAGAATCTTTTTATTTATATCAAAAAACTATTTTTTTCTGAGCAACCAGGATGATTTTAAAAAGGATTCTTTTTTTTGCTTTGTCTAATCTAATTTTGTTTTATAATAATAAGACCTCCGAAATTTAGTTATTACCCAAGTAACACGACGTGAATTTTTAAAACGGGCTTCTCACTGATGTAAATAAAAGAAGAAAATATTGATATGGGTTGTTTTTCGACGTCATTAAAAACCGTATCTAAAATGAAAACGTGACACACATAAAAATTTAAATATAAACCTCATTTCCAACCCTCATACGGCGGTGTTTTTATTATTTTGCCACCTAGAGACCAGGTATTGGACTTGGGAATAAAAATATCGACATTGTCTCAATGGGAATGACGATAGAATTTTTGTATTTAGTACAGCGGCGGGTTAAAGAATGCCGTTTAGTTTCTAACCAAGATTGTAGTGCTAAGAAAAAGTCTCAAGATTTTCTCTTACCGCTGGCTAGATAAAAGCAAGAACGCTAAATTAGATTTTTATTTTAGATAAACGAAAAAATCCCATCTTACAATTGACAAAAGCTTTATTAACTTCTGAAAATAACCAATTACAAAACCGTTTTAGTTTTTATCTTTTATTTTCTGGACGTTCCTTTGCCCTCGATCTTTTTTGTCTCAATTCCAAATGAATTAGTTTTTTTTTTAAATTTTCGTATAATATATTCCAAAAAATATTTTATGCTTATTCTTTCTATAAATTAAATTATATTAAATTAGTAATTCTTCAAAGAAATAAGTATCACACACATCAATATTATAATAAAAAAATGTACATTTTAAGCTCTTATGGTGTTAAAAGAATATAGAAGAATTAAAAATTATTTTTTGCGTATTTCTTCTATAAATTAAATTATATCAAATGAGTAACTTTTCGAAAAAATGAGCATCACATACATCGATATTATGATAAAAAAAATAAACTTTAAACTATTATGGTGTTAAATGGATATAAAAGGATTAAACGTTCGAAATTGAAAATGTAAAGCCAATCAAACCCTAAACGATATAGATCACTAAAACGAGGCAGAACATAAATTTAGAAATATCTATCAGTGACATAATGTCCATCTAACTGCAATAGGCAAAGCATCGAAAACAAATAAAGCCACTTGTCAATTTCAGTAACCCCATCTATAGTTCGTCGTCATTCTCTGTCTATATGTATCGACTTTTTCGATTCTAAGTAGATCGGTCGGCAAAATTGAAGCCAGTAAATCAGGAGCTGGATGTAACACTCTCAACAATGATATGCGTTCGGATTCTCTGTAATTATTGTCCATATTCATGACGTTATGTAAATTTGCCAAAGCTGACTAAACCAAGCGTTAATATTCAATATTTGTCATATATGCCTTCAACATTGAGAGATTTCTCGTCTTCGTAGTATTAAACACTTTAAATTGATAAAATGTCAATAGATCTTTCATTTTTATTAAGTCTTTTGGAAGTGAAACTAGGCGCGCAGGGAGTAAAAATTCAAGGCCGTGACACGACAAGCGATACAACAAGCAAGATTTGATATTTCGATAGATTGGACTAAGGCCAACTTGACCGTGTACGACACGTGTCACTGTGACAGTTTTGACGTGAGAAACGTCATAATTTAGTGCGTAGGTCATGTGAGCGACGGTGCATACGGTTCAAGCCTGCAAAGTTGGATACAAAAAAGCTTACATCTTCATCAGTGCACACACAATTTTTTTTGGAATTTAATGGCAAATATCCGGAATTTTAACAGACTTTATACCATAAACAGATTTAAATCAGAAATGTTCAGCGGGGTGGCTGAAGAAATTAATTAAGAATTTTAATGGCGGACAGCACTAAATGCTGTCAACTGTCGCCAACTTAATAAAATTTCAAGGAAGGCCATAAAGTGAGTCAGGCTGTAAGCTGCAGTTGTTTGCTGTTATCTCGAAGATGGACTTGGCTATTAAAAATCCAGGTGAATTGAGAAAAATACACCTTTACTATGTTGTATTGCCAGCACGAAACCAAGGCCACCTTTAGAATTTTAATTTGGTTTAATATTCTTTCGTGCGATTGCCTTGCTTTAATTATACCGTTTCAAATGAAAATTGGACTAAAAGCGAAAAAGAGAGTATTAATACTGTAATAACATTTAAGAAGATAGTTTTAATGTTGTATTATTTGGAGTAAAGGTCATGAAATTACAAATTTTCTAATCTACTAATTATTAGATGCATTAGTGAGACAATTTAAACGTCTTCGTTAAACTCTTAATGATTTAAAAATGTTTTACATGACTTTATTAAAACGAAACCTTCAAAATGTTGAAGTTTATATAAATCAACAATTACAATTTTCATATCGTTCTCTATTTTTCTATAAAATTCTTATTATTTTTACGTTATGCCGACATTAACACTACATGTATTATACATTTATATAAAATATTAATAAATCTGATATACTAGTGTTATTTTTTATTTAAAAATAAAAATATGGATGAAATAAAACAAATATTATTAAAGTGTATTTCATAAATAAACATTTTCGAGGTATAACAAACACTACAAAAAAGCAATATTGTTTGCACTTAAACTAATATTGTAAAATAAATCTACCATATTTCGCAGTAATTTTTGTTGAAATTCAGCAACAAAAATAAAAAAAGAGCTCGAAAAGTAGATAATTGATATTGAGCTAACAAAATACGAATGGGAAATATCTTACTTGATATTTCAATAACTATATTAAATAAATATGAAGCACTTTCCGTAGGCCTCCATGAAAATGCTTTTATGCAAATTTACACTAATAATCCATTAAATAAATTATAAAATATGAGATTTTCTAAATGAATTACAGGGCATTGTTCAAAATGCAGTTCGAATATAATTCCATATTTCATAAACGAAAAGAAGATTTGAAATTACTTTACATTACATAAATTATTGTTTCGTTTAATATAAATTTATATAATCAAATCGAATGATTTAAATAATAAATTAATTTATACATTAAAAATATAATTATATTTTTATGTGTGTTATAAGTATAAAAATTGGTCATTAAAGAAATGTTTGTCTTACTTTATTAAAGACAATAAGTATCTCATTATTTTTGGCTCACTGTTTATATTAAGAAAGAAAATACAAAGCTGAAATTACCTAAAAAGCTTCGACAATATATTCCACTGAGTCAGTTCTTTCAAAACACATTAAAATTATTGTCGCTTACCATTTTATTCTCCAGATAAATCTTGTTTAATATTTAAAGAAAAAAGACAGACACTTTGGAGGCTTTCCAAACGCTTGATATTACTGATTATTTCTTTTGTGTTATATTTGAATCAAATTTAATATTCTTGGAGGTACAGTAAACCAGTCATAAAGATATAGAATAATTGAATAAAATGAATAATTATTAATAATATTGTAATTACAAAATACCTTACCTTTAAGCCGATTGGTGAAGAGCCATAGGAGAATAATGCGGAAATTCATTATCCTGAAAAAAAACAAATCTTCAAACAATGTAATAACAGAATTTTTTATTGAAAGCACATTTTCATGTACGTATGTATATTCATACTCAAATTTTCTGATCAAATTGAGCATGTAAATAAATGGAAAAAAATCTTCTGCTATTTTTTCTCTGAAATTACTAAAAAATGGAGCAAAACATGTGAAAACTAGAAAGTCATTAAAAGTCAACAAATTATAGTGGATAAGGCAAAGTCAATCTTTTTTAAACAAAAAAAAAACAGAAATTTCATTAAAACTTCTAATAAAGTATAACAAAAAAGTGCTTAATATTCAACAAGTTCCGAAAGATATTCGATAGAAGAGCTAGTCTAATTAAAAAATAGTAATTTTTAATTTAAAACCTAATTTGATTTGCAAAAATATTTTCCCCCGAGTTTCGCGATATTCAAAAGTTTCTATACTATAAAAAGTATTTTTTTTTTATAAAATGTTATTTATTTAACTTTTGAACTTATTTAGCATTATAAATAATGTATAACTTTCCAGCCTTCAGTACTAAGGGTTAAAAATTATGATTAAAACTTTCTTTATACAAACCTCAGCAAAGAAACAAAAAACAGAAGAAAGAAACATCAAAATATAGTAGAATCTATTACAAAAAAAATATCAGTATCTAAAAATATTATTGGTTCTTTATGGATTTAATGTGTTTTAATTAAAACGAAAAACCCGGAAATTATTAGTTATGAGGTAACTCGAATAATACCTGCTATAATTGAAATTTTGCGTTTTTATTACACATAAACATCGGTATTGTCTACGAATTGAACGGGCGAGCAGACAAAGAAAATTCGATTTCCAAATTTTCTCATAAAAATGACAATTGAATGGGACAAAAGCGTAGAAGGAAAAAGCATATAAAAACTTATATTTCCCCTTTACGTGATATAAATATTGTATTTTGCTTGATACCATTAGAAGAAGAAGTTCGTTGCTAAAATTTCCTTGATTAACAAGTTTGTTCGGAAACAAGAAAACTTTTTGCACTTTAAGCAGATCAGTCTTTTTATTGTACATATAAATCGCAGTGTATAGTCTTCAAAAACCAGTAAATTTCTCTTGACAACTTCGAATAAATGGAAAAGTTACGAATATTATCTTATTTATAATTAGTTTTATTCCCAAACAGAAACAAAACTTCCCAAATTCCTTATCTATATCGACAAAACTTTTAACAGTTCACAAATATTAAACAAACTTTTGTTGGAAACGTCTCTCGGTATTCTCTTTTTTAATTGAAAATTTAATAGTATTCTCTTAATTCTCGAAATAACTTTCCGAAACGCAGTTTTTGGCAGCAATAAAAAAAAGACATTTATCTAGTAAAAGACTCCTTTCGCCCTCAAAGGCATGGCCTATATTTGAGACCTTTGACCAAAAGAATTTTTCCTAGAGCGTCTTGTTCTAAGACAAAGAAATGACTACTGCTTCAAAGAAATGAAAGTCACAAGTAAATCGTGATAAAAATATATTAAAGTTTTTTTAAAGGATGAAAAAAGCGTGCTAGCTTCAAGTTGGTAACTACCATTTTGCGGTTTACGCCTTTTTATAAATTCCCTTTGATATATAAGAAGAATCTTGTAAAAATAGCTGGCAATCATGGAACTACTTTAGATGATTGCCCTTTTCTTACAATGAATAAAAATCATACGAACTTTTGTCGATGTCATCGTTTCACACTGAATTTTACTTCCGTATAATAAAAAATATAAGAGTTTTTTAACATTATGCATGTCTATATTTTTAGAACGAAAATCGTATCTATCTGAATCCTAAAAAGTGTGACTAAAACATGTATTTCTTGTCTGCCTAAAGGTGCAAGTTGCTCTATTTATTCCTTCAGGAAACATAGTCATAAATCTTTAGCAACAAAGAGGTCGTTTTTTTTTCGCTCCTTTAAAAAAAGAGCCCATATATTTTATTTTCATTTAAATCAACAAACAAATAAGTCTTTTGTTATGTTTTAACTTGTTTTAGGATTCTTTACGTCTTTAATCAAAGGTACTTTTATTTGCGATTTGTTGCTTCGAGAATAAAGAAAATAAAACTGCAAAACTTTTTATACTTTTTTCCATTAACTAAATGGTCTTGTAATTGGGGAAATGTTACGACAAAATTAAATAGAGGTATTGTAGTTAAACCAGGAACTTTCATTGGATTTTTAACGAAAAATATTCTGCAATTAAAATAATTAATAAAGAATGGATATACAGGGTAGTCCATTAGTACGAGTCCAATATCATCGTCGTTGTCGAAGAGGCGAAAAAACAAGTTTTATACGTATGTTGCATGGTTTACAAAGGGGCATATACTAAAAATATTTGTTTGTATATACAGGGTATGCCAAGAAAATTATGATGAAGTTTTAAGTTTTTTTTAATTGCACTCCCCATTTTTCTGTTTAGATTTGAATTCACCATAAAATTCTGCTAGAGTACGCTATTTTTATTTACTTATCACTATGCAGTGTTGCCATTCTATTTCTTATTTACTGAAATTTTGGTTAAAAACAGTATATACGAAAAATGCATATAAACCGGAGTAAATTTAATTTTATTAATAATTATCTATATTTTCCTAAATACCAAGGATAACAGAATAAACCCGCGAAGGAAAATTTACATTACCTTATACAGGGTAATTTTTATAGTGTCGCCAATATCGAAATTTTTAAAATGCCATATCTCCATGTTTTCAAATGCAACACCCTGTATATTATTTTCATTGTAGATGCAGAATTAAAAAGTGAACATTTTTTGTATTTAAAGTGTTCATAAATTTTTAACCGTTTCGTAAATATTGGTGGTATATTATTACATATGGCTCTTTGATTTTTTTTTATCATAGCCACCCAACATTGTATTTAACATGATCTTTATCTGGTATTTTATCGTTGAAATCCCCATATATAATATAATACAGCGAATATCTGCAAAACAGCTATAAATTTAGGAATTCTGTTATCCTTGGTGTTTAGAAAAATGTAGTTAAGTATTAATAAAGTTATGTTCACTCCAGTTTTTAACCACTTTACGGAAAATGATTTTAACAGAAATGGCAATACCGCATAGTGCTTCAAATAGAAATAGTATACTATAACAGAATTTTTTGCTGAATTCAATTATCTACAGAAAAAGGGCTGGTGCAATCTAAAAAAACTTGAAACCTTATCGTAACTTTGTTTTGTGACACCCTGTATACAACATAATATTTTTAGTGTATGCCCTTTTATAAACTAACATCTGTAAAAAACTTTTTTCATTCATAACAATAATTCTGCCACATCATAGAAAAAAAATGTTCTTATACAATTCTCGTATTTTCTTCTTTTCCTATGTTTATAATGTCGTACAAAACCGCTTAGATAGAGGAATTTCCAAGCCACCATATGGTGCAGTAGACCGTGATATACTAAGAAAAGCAGAAATACCTTCAAATATAAAACCAAATTAGGTTAGAAAGTTATAGTTTTTGATGATTCAGATCTAAAGCACCGGTGCCATTCAGTTTTGAAACTTCAGCAAACTCCAGTCGAAGTTTGAACAATAACACAATACCCTGCCCTGCGTCATTCATTTTTCACCCATAGGCCTGTATAATCAAAGAATAATTATAAATTAAACTTCGGTTTAATAACAGTGATTAAAAAAGGGGAGGTCGACTTTGAAGGTTAAAAAAGCAGAATGAATGAAAAGACGAGGGAGGTTATAGTAAAATATTCGTTCATCAGGTAAAAACCTTTGGTTTTTGGGCTCCCCTTTTGGGAATTCTAAATAATACGTGTTGAAAAGGAATCCCCGATCCTTTGCTTCTCCCTAAACTTATAACGGGATTTTGCTTCTCCCCTTGAAGATGACATAAATATAAAGCATGTCTTAGCTACGCTACGAAACATATATTTAATAACGTACACGAGAAAAAATGTCTCTTTTGAATCACAAATTCGGGCCGCATTATTATTCCTGTCAAAAGTGATTACGTATGCAAAAAATACGATGTGCTGGAGAAAAAATTAATTAATAATATCCAAATACATCAAGGGACAGGGTGAGTCAACTATAGAGTAGTCGCTGTCCCATTTGATTTGGGAATTAGGAAAAAATGTAAAATATAGTTTAAAACATACAAAATTTAGTCTAATCTATTGATAATTAATAGATATTATAGTAACAAATTAACAGAAGTAATTTTTAACAGATTTCCCAACTGGTAAAGGAGTACGACAGGGAGACGCAATATCCCCAAAACTGTTTACAGTAACACTAGAAGAAATCTTCAGTCAACTGGACTGATATGATATCAACCGAGGATTAAGAATAGATGGAAAATGTCTTAACCACCTAAGATTCGCCGATGACATAGTCCTAATTGCCAATAGTCCTGAAGAACACAAATTAACGAACTAAATACAGCCAGCAATAAAGTAAGTCTCAAAATGAATTTAGCAAAAACTAAAGTAATGTCCAACGAACTAGTGGACAGACATTCTAATAAATAACACAACAATGGAAATAGTAGAAGAATACAGATTGTTAACTGGACAGTTACTTATAGGGGAACAGAATGGCAACACTGCCTATTGAGAACGCATGCACTTATAGGGTTTTCTGCCGACTCGTCCCGTCGCGTCGCGAGCGGGTCGAGATTGCCATATTTCAACCATAACGCTCTTGCCGCGCGTAATAAGCAAATTAACAACCTGTATATTTGGGACAACTAATACAAAGCTCGGTATCTCTACTACCAGAAATCGACAGAAGAATTAAAAAAAAGTTACCATGGAGTACTTATGGAAGAAACTCCACTTTTAGAAAATGCCATTTTATCTAAAAAGAAAATATTCGACCAATGTGTACTACCAGTCATGACTTATGCACGGGAAACCTGGACACTTAAAAGGGACATTATAAGGAATCTGCAGGTCGCACAACGCTCAGTGGTACGAAATTATGCTGGGAATAA